ACCGACCCTCGACCGCACCCGCGCCGAGTCGAGTACCGGTGAGTGCTTTTAGACGAGGCCGCACTCGTCGTAGGCGACGGAGCTTTACGCCGATGGCACGAAATAAGCAGAACGACGAAAACGGATAGGCGGGAAGAGGGAGGAGAGAAAGACGGTTGGCGTAAGAAGAACGTGCGCGGATAAGAAGACAGGAGGGAGGGAGGATTGCTGAGAACAAATGCGAAGCTCTGCCTCCATTTACGTGGGGGCTGCGAGCGTCAGGGGTTGGCACGAGGCACGGGATGGAAGAAATTCGTGGAAACACCGCGGAATTGGATAAGCCGGCGGGGTTTGTTTTGTCAGGGGTTCGCAACGAGGATAAACGCGGCGACTGTTGGGATCGCGTGGTCGATGGTCATAGAGACCCAGCTATCGCGTGTCGCGGCAAACTTTCTCTTGCTCGCTCGTTCGCTCGCTCGCTCGCTCGCTCCGTCTGCGCGGAAATCGGCAATCTGCTAACCCGAGACAGGCACTCGCGTTGTTAACAAGCGTCACCGGATCGATAGATCGAAACCGTTTCCCTAGTTAAATTAATATTCCCTCGAAATGCTTACTTTTCACGAATGCCAAAATTACCTCCCCCCCATAAGTTCGCTAGCCCCTCCTATAGGAAGTTATTCCTGCCATTTGTAACTGTATGAACTCTATAACATTGTTTAATAAAAATTATTAAACGGAATTTTTACGTTTCAGAATTTAGAAGCAAATACTTTATCAAAGTTTGAAACAAAATAACACATTTTTTTCCATTAAATGAAAAGTCTTCAATTTATCTCATTTCTCAACTGTATAAAAAAATAGACTTTTTAGCGATTTAACATTTGTCTATTTAACAGCAAAGTTTGGAAAATTCAGAAAACGTTCTTAGTGTCACTGACATTATTATTGTCAGCTTCTATAATATTCCCTGCTGCATGTGGTTTTCAAAACCACAATGTAATGAAGGAAAGCGGTTTGCCAATCTCATTCTCCGCCGTAGAGAAAGTGCGGAAGGAGACGGGTCCTTACGCGAACCATTGTCGAGACGAGACCGACGGCGATCGAAAGCCCGACAATGGAATTGCGATTATCGTCCGAGCAGGGTTGCTTGCCCTCATCAAACCCTATATACGCGAGGGCGAATCGAATGGTATGGAACACGATGAGAGACAGGGAGAGGCATCGGCGAAGGAAAGAGGGAACGGGAGGATGTGGGGCGGGATTGGCACGGAGTGGAGGAGCAAGATAGAGTTAGAGAGGAACGAGCGGGAGGTACTAGGTGCTGTTTGTTGAATCCTCGAGATCAATACGACGTACCCTATCTCTTTCTCCCTCGTAATATTACGGACGATGGCGTGCGTGACACACGTATATGTTCACGTTCCCGATACACGTCACGAGAGGTGAAGTGATGCTGCGCCAATTGATTTCGGATTTTTCACGAAAGTCTTTGTCGATCTTCATTTTTCGACAACGACGAAATGAACAAAATTGTAATGTAACGAACAGTCCTTGATTGTTCATTTTCATTTTTTTTTTCCTATAAGATAAATTGACGCAGTAATGAACGGGGGAAATCTCGTGATTAATATTGTGTACATCAGTCATGCCAATTACGACAGATTGCTGCCGTGAGATTGCAGCTAGGTATATCTTCATTTCCGATAATTATGCAAAATAACGTTACAAAATTCTATTCATGCAAGTTTCAAAATGAAAAATGAGTCTCAAAAATCAATTGTCTCCTTTTAATGCTGTTTATATGAATAGCAATAAGCAACGTATAAATATAATATATATATATATATTTATATATAAATATATATATTTAGAGTTTAAGCCTCGTTGATGCTTCATATATGTATATAAAAATTTAAAAGCTTTCTCCCACAAAAAAAGAAGCGGTGTAAGAAATTAATAACAATGGCTCTTGAAGGTGAGAGTTCGTATCTCTGGCTTTCCCATTCATTTCTGGGTAATGGCGAAATCCTTCATTCCGCTCGTTTCTTCCATGAAAGCAAGCGATGAATATAGGAGAATAGTTTCACGACGGGAGCCTGCTTTTCCAAAAAAACAAAAAAAAAACGGGGGTTGATCATACCGCTTTACTTATCGTGCTAGTTATACCGCGGTAAAGTAAGCTCTCGCGGAGCTTTTTCTAGCTCTGTCTGTCTCACGCTCTCCCCCGTTCTTCCTCTTCCGACCAATCGAGGAGGTCTGCTTATCGTCAACGCGAAGGGTGAACTGCGCACTGCGGTATGGGACGAAAATAGGTCGGCCAATTCTCGTACCAGCACCCTCTTTCGCCTCCGCCTTACCTATCGACACCTCCGCACCCTTATCCGAACTCTAATAAAAAACGAATACCTACGAGTGTGAGCTTCGATCGCTTAGGCGCGGCCTTTTCGACGCACACTCAGGGTCAAATTTAACCACCGTTGATGCGCTGAGAGGGAGGCCGAATGTGCAATCAAATCATATTTGAAAATATTATATTAATAACTAATACTTCAAAATAATATACGTGCAAACGAAAATTTTTGCAATTCTTTTGATTTAATGTAATACTGAAAATATTATATTATCACGGAAAGAGAGAAGAATGCCTTCGCAAAACAAATCGGATCGATTCATGATTAAATAACAAAATTTAATATTTATTGCTCTTACAAACACACAAATCGAGTTATTTTATTAAGATTTTTCTAAGTATAATTAAACTTGTAAAAAAACAAAAAAATTTAATTGTACGATTTCTTCATCCGTAAATGAATAGTAATGAATTCATATAACGATCGGAGCAAAAACTCTTCGTCATAGTTTATATTCGTGAACGAAAAATAAACTAAAAAAATCATCTCAGAACTAAAATAAAAAATATTAGTTCGTGCAGTCTTATAATTGTATAATTGCACGCTATTGTAAAAAGACGTGCAATTATCTTTCAATATTCAATATCAATAATTATCAAAAAGACGAACATTAAAGTCTATGTTGAATCTACGCACCTTCCTTCAGCGCATCTCATAAAAAAAAATATATATATGTATATGTGTTAGATCGTGATATCGTCAGCGTCAACTCACTTTCGCTGAAGACACAAGCACACATTTGTCATCATCTGCGCAACGCGTTTTTTTCACATTTGATTTCTTCATAGCGCAATAACAACGGATTCATCACTATAAAAACGTCTCTGTTACAAGTCTTCACAAAAGGATCACAAATTATGAGGCATCAGCAAATGGTTCCGATCTTTCGGTATGCATGTATGTAAATCGCGAGCCCTCTTCGATCATATTCCAGATTGCTGCCTGTCTTCGGACCATCTGTCAGCCGTGGAGTATTATTGTTGAGACTGCTGACTCGTGGAAACTTGCGAGGCAGGCTGCAAAGATTGCTGTTGCGTCTGAACATGCGTCTGCATCTGATGATACAGGGGATAAGTTTTTCGTTTTCTGATGCCGTGCATGGAAAGCAGATGAATCTGCAAGTACTGCTTAGTCTTGAATTGCTTATTGCACACGTGACACGAGATATATTCGGTCTGCACAGTGTGAACGTTAACGATGTGCTGCTTTAAATTGGAATTGTTCGAGTATATCTTGCCGCATTCGGGACACTTGGGTTTACCGACGTGACTGGTGTCATCCCTTTGTTGATGATACCGCCTGTGAGATTGCTGATGTAGTATCGCCATGCTCTCGATCTTGTCCTTCGCGCAAGACTGCAGCATCAGATTCAGTTGATCGCTCTTGGTAGAGGTGCTCTGCTGAAGACTTTGGAGATTGTTCTGCAGTTTCTGATGCATCATCGTAAGTTGGTCACTATTTAGGTTATTGAGGGAGTTGAGGGCATTGAGGGTGTGTTGCTGCGACGACTGTTGGCTGGTGGCATGGTGGTGATGATGCTGATGGTGATGATGCTGAAGCAGGGCCGAGAGATCCTGCCCTTTCGAGTTGTGACCTCCGCCGCTCTGGTAGCTTTCAGACCCGGCGTGCTCGTTCTTCGTCGAGGATGTACCCGGCAGCCAACCGGAACTCGAGCTTGAACCATCTCCTCCAGAGGGCTGCCACCGCCCTGGAACCACCAGCCAATGTCAGTCCTCAGCCAACCTCGTACGATCCCTTAAACACTATTCAATCGCGCTTTTTTTGCCTCGCGCAGGCCTTTCTTATGCATTTTTTTTTCAACTTTCTCTTTTCTGAAAGTGTATTTCCAGGTTTTTAAAGACAACTTGCCCTCGATAATTTTCGTACCCTCCCCCAACGAGCCTCTGCCTAAACCTAGGATCGAATTCGATCCTTCGTATCGTGCGAGTTAATATGACGATCTTTAATTGCTCCTGGCGCTCTTGTGCGCCCTATCGTTTGTCTCTTCTTCATATTATCTTCCCATATCGCGATTTGTTTCCAATTCTTATTGAAACTGCGACCGATTAAGATCACTACATCGATATACACGCATAATTAAGATTATTTTAGATAATCATGGATAATGTAATTTTAGATTTACAATTCGATTCCTGATCCTGAAAATTTTGTAGATATTGCAATATAGCGACGCGAATTTATTTCACACTTGCACAATTTTTTAAGGCAATACGGTGACGTCGAAAATAAGCCTCACATTGCAGACAAAGACAATGACGAAGATACAATGTGAACCTCGTTTCCGAATAGAAAGGCAATTTTATAGTAATTACTATGAAACAGATTTATGTTTCATTATGTTAAGATACGCCACAATAATGAAAATCATAGAAGAGCCGTTGAGATGCGACTCCATAATACGTTGCTGCTCACCGTGTGATAAGAGGGGTAGCTGACAAGGAATGCAAGGGTTTGTGAGAGGTACGAGAGTTTCATGCATTCAAAACGCAACAACGAGATCAGAGTCTTAGGAAACGACGGAAGGATACTAGTCTGGGCTTTAAGAATGTTTAAAAGAGTGAGATCAAATCATAGATTTGATAAACTTACCATAATTTGGATCCTGATTGGCGACCTGATGTATACCAGATGGTCCTGGCATGTTCATGCCTGTAATTCATGAATGAAATCGATTAGATCAATTTTAGACAATTGCAAACATAAAATGTTATTAAAAAAATTTAATATTAAATAAGAACAAAAATTAAAAATACAATTAATTATATATTAAATACAAATGAAAAAGATTACAAGTGCGACATTTACTGTCTTAGCAAATTATCAAGAATGTATTAAAAATAGAACTAATTTTTTTAATATTTAATAATATGCAGTACACATGGTACGCATTAACGAAGTCAACTACTGTTTCACGGTAAATATAAATATAAATCATGAGATTTATATCGCTCAATTGGCTATAGCACAGGTAAACGAAATCAAATTATGTTAATAATATGTTAGTTTATTACATTTAATAATAGATTCATGTTAACACATTTTCATAAGTCAAAGAATACAATGAAATTATGTACACAAATAGAAATAATTGTAATTATTCATTAATTAATTTTAATTGAAGCCGTAATTAGTAATTAAGTCGGGCTAATTGCTAATTACGAAAGTAATTAGTAACTGGACGAGGAATTAATAATTAATTACAAATGTAATTAGTAATTAAATGTGCCATTAATTAAAAAACTAATTTGCATCCTTTCGACAAAACTCGGATTTCTTTGGTCCATCGTAAATTTAACTCTGCCTTATAAATAACGAAATGGCCGTTATTTACATAAGCAATTATCAATATAAAGCATATATTTTTCAAACAGATCAATAGTCTGATTATTCTTGTCGAAATACGCGATTTATTTATTATTAAATTAATCGCAAAACAAAGCAAGCGATATAATCTATAAAATGTTTTACAAGATTCAATAAGAAAATTTCCAATTGTATAAGAACCAAATAATTACCTTGAAGACTCAGTAATGCTGCGGGGAAGCTGTTACGATGGTGTTCTATAGAGTCATTTAGAATGTCACTTGGCTCGGTCTTCACCGCGTTCAGGATGCTGCCGTGGTTCGACATATCCTCCTCATTTTCTGACATAGAATTCGAATCTTCGCCAGTTGACTGCGCCTGAAATTAAACAAAATATTCCCACACTCATGAAACATCAGCGAAAAGATAGCTGTAATCACTGAACGATACTAATCAGTTTCACTAAATTTAAATTTAACAATTTTGCGTGGAAATACATTTATGTATAATAGAGCACAATTATTACTGCCCAACTTGATCTATAATTCCTGCGCTCACCTGTATATTGTTTGAGGATGTCGTGTGTATCGTGGGACCACCTTCGAGTGCCTGGCCTAACAAGGACTCCTGAAGATCCGACTTTTGTTCGACATGGTTACCCATTGGCGGACTATAACTTCTCGCTCGCTTTTCCTGAGGTGGACTCATATCACTTTCATTGAGCTCTCCTCTGCCGTTATCCTGCCAATTACGTGGGGTCGCCTGAACAAATTAAAGACAATACATATAACGGACGATAGTACACAGCGTCTATAAAAAAAAAAAGACAATGCAATCATTCTTCATAATACAGTTCCAACTAATATTTAACATTCAATAATCTCATTATATGTATAATCAGCGAAACTCGGAATACTCATCCATTATTAAAACTTCCGCGTAATATTTGTCTAACGTCTATTATAAGTCGTGAAATTAAAAGCTAAAGGACGAAGCAGGGAATTCTAACCGGGATTCCGCCTGTCACGGTAACGGCGACGGCGCAGTGTTAAAAGCACATTAATTAAAATTCGTTTTAATTAAGGCTAAATTAATTAAAAGTTCGAACCCAGCCGTATAATTCGTATAATTAATTTTCCAACTTCCATATTAAACTGCCGCGGGGACAACTTACAGGTGCGCTGCCGTTGTTGCCGGCCGACGACGACGGAATTTTCGTGGCGCCGCTATTAACGTCCGCCAAACCCCGCACTTGAAGCATCTGAGCCGTCTTCAGAAAAGCGGGTAGCTGCTCCTGGCCCACGTGCACCTCCCCGTGATACATAAAACGCAGCAAGGACTCCATGTCCGACGATGCTACATCCTTCAGGATTACGATCGGATGAGGGCATGGATTTGCCTGCGTCAAAAGTTAACATTTCCTTCGAATTCGCATTCTCATAATTAATAACGCAGTGCAAAGCACTCTAATAATAAGAAACATCCTAACGTAATTTCAAAACATTATTTACATTTAAATGTTGATCCTATATTTCCGGCGTAATTATAAAACTTTAAAATAATGAATTTTTCAAGTAACTTACAACCCATTAAGTTTCAAACCACTCGAGTCGTATATACCGCTCAACATTATCCATTTAATCGAACATTCGATCCACGCAGCGCTGATTCAACGAGATTTGATATAAGATACCAGTGTCAAATTAATCGCAGCTATTAATTATCAGCCCATCCCGGGCAGCCGTTAGTACAGTTATCTTATAAGCAGTGTGGCAATTACAAAAAGTATGCGCTCTCTAACGCTCGATCGATCAAGGTAATCGATCCATCAGGAAGCGCGCGCGATTTTTCTAATCGCACATTCATAAGGAGCGGAGATCGGAAATCAAGAGAGAGATACATCGATCCCCTATCAGCAAGAGGTCAAAAGGTTTGACGGTAACGAATACTACCTTCCCCCCCCCCCATTTTTTCCGCCCCGCTCCGGCGTGTAGAACAGAAACGTTTCTCACGTATACTGAAATTCAGCAAACCGCATGCACTATTAGATATATCCGTCGTGCAAAAAGAGGAGTGACTTTTCTTCTCGTCCTTTCAAAGTAAACGATTCAACATCGCGGCTAAAGGTTAAGAGAGGTATACGGGGGATTCTGATCGATGCCCGGCGAATCGATCCCTCTTCCAAAGCGCTTAATCCCGTCCGTCGATGGACACGCAGGGGGAGTCTGACGGCCGATTAATTTGTAACGATTTACAACCGAGATGCATATAATCAGCGTCGTTTAATCCACGTCGGAGCTACCCTTCATCTTGGTGCATCGCTGCACCGATTTGTACGGTTTAAGCGCACATAAATCGTCGACTTTTTTTATATAAATACGCGCAGCGGGACGACCTGAAAGATTTAAAACTACGAGATAGAACATATTACGCTAAATTATAATTACTTTAATCTCTTAAACTCATGCATGAAAAACATAATTGATTTAGAAGCGGTTGCAGTTGTTATCTGTTCGATTCAAGTGTCCCAAGTGTGAAACTTTAAACACTTAATTTGCGTGCGAAAATTGCGCCTCGGTCCAGATAATTACGAGAATGAAGAATTGTAAAACGAGATGACGTAAAATGTGTCCTTATTGCCGAGAGTGCCCCAGATACCTTCTCACCTTTCTCATCATCGAATTGACCGAGTGAAATCGCTTTTCGCCGATGGTTAATTGCATCCACGAATAGTCACGCTCGACAGCCAATTGATTCGTAACGACAATTTATAACCATCGACGCGTATAATGATCGATACTCAATCTGCGTCGGGATATGTTCCCCGTATACCTTGGGCATCAATTCTTGCACCTGTCAGACCAACGAATTAGCTCTTAATATTGAACGATCTTCGTGATCGTTGGACAGTGACAACTGAAGCCTCAACAAGCCAAATTGCACTTTTGTAGTTGTCGTTTTGGCTTTACATGAAAATTCGTCGATTATATGTACATCTAGAATATTGTCACTTAATAATAACGTGCATAGCTCAATCAAGAAAAAAATTATCAAGATATGACTCGGTGTAAATCTTCTTATTTTTCTTATTTACTTTTCCTTACTTACTTATTTTTATTAATTGTTAATTAATCATTTATTAATTTATCTCTTCATCTCTTTTATTTATATAAATCTGCACAATAATTAAAATAGCAAATTTAAGTCATTAACTTCTGAATAAACGGATGCATATTTAAATAATATGGATACAAACAACACATACGATGTGTTCCCGGTTAGATGGAGGGTTACATCGATCACGTAACGGCATCGATCACGATCGCTCTCGCGAAAAGACCGCGAGAGCAGACCGCATAAAGCGAAGGCGTCTCTCACGGTGATGCACGTACGTCATGGCGATATTATACGAAGTGCTAGTGCCATTATCGACAGCGATATTAATTATAATTAATGAACCTCCTGGGATGGCACGGCTTTCCGTGCGCCTGCCTACACAGTTATACCGAAAACGACGTGATGCTACACACACACACACACACATACACACACACAC